ACACACACACACACTTATTCCTGGGCCTCTGTTAGAACAGGGTGCCCCCGCCCAGGCCCGATCTTGAAGCTGTTCCGACAGGATTCCCTGCCCTCTGCCCACTGCCCCACCCCCTGGAGATAGGCTGGCATCCATCCCCCTCTTCAGGTGGGACCAATGCCAGGTGGCAAGAGGAGGGTTGTAGGAGGGCCACGGCAGCTCCTGCGTGCCTCACGAGAGAGAGCCACGGGAGCATGGGAGGTGGGGGCTCAGCGATGCTGGGAGCCAGGATGGAACCAGGATGGTGGACCCAGCTCCATCCGTCCTGGCCATGCGTCCGGAGACCCCACGGTGACCCATTCCCACAGACCTGGCCTCTCTCAGCCAGGGTCCCCTTCCCAGCAGTGGGTGATGGGTGGCCACTGGGGTGAGAAGTTCACCAGGTTAGGGATGAACCTGGCCTTGGGCCACCAGGTCCTTCAGGATCCTGTTCTTTTGGTCCCTGGGCAAGCCCCCCTCCACCCCAGCCCGAGAGGAAAGTGTTGAGTTTCAGTCCTGCCTTTGCCTGCTCTCTGTCTGTCACTTAACTTCCGCAGGCCTCTGTGCCCATCTGTAAAATGGGGATGATAACTGTGAGGACTGGCGGCTCGCCCGCCCGCCCGCCCTGGGGTGGTGGTGAGGATTAACTGAGATGCAAGGTGCCAGGCACTCAGCACTTAGTAGCGCCCATAAAGGGCAGCTGTTGTGAGTGTAATTATTATTAATTATCTCCTGGCCAGCTGTTCCAGACCTCCCTTTTGTGCTGTGCTGACAGCTGGAGGTGCCCTGACCTCCATTCTTCTGGGAAGAAAAGTCTTTGACTGGCAGAACCCCCGTGGGGCAGGGTCCCTGGCTAATCCAATATTTGGGGTCGAGGCCAGTTGCCCCCGTCTTCCCGGGCCAGGTCAGGCCCTGGGCGGTGTCTGTTCTGGCCTCTGGCCACTGCCATGTGCTTGTCCCTCAGGCCACACGCACGATTTGCCCTCCAGCCTCCCCTGGCCGAGTCCTCCAGCTCAGGCAGCTGGAGGAGAGACATGCCGCCAGGCGGTCCTGTGGCCGCCATTCTCCCCTCCTCACAGTCACCTCACGGCTGGTGGTCTGGTCCCCTCCACCCTGCTGCTCGGTAACTTGAAAAATAGCAGAGCAACCTGTCCCGAACGAGGGCTGTAACCCGGCCCGACTTGGATCCGGCCCCATCTGAGCTGGGACTGGAGGACTGGGCACTTGGGAACCGGGGACCACGGTACTGTCGTCGCCTCTCCGCCTCCCGCTTGCTGGGTGACCCTAGACAAGCCTCGCTGCCTCCCTGTCTGGACCTCAGTCTCTCCATCTGTCAAACACGGCTCAGATAGTGTGTGATGCTGGAATGCAAAATGTTTGTTTCGGTGTCAACAACCGGGCCTCCCCCGTGGCTGTCCAATGGGGTTGACATTACCCGAGGCAGAGAGGTGTCAGGAAGGAAGTTCCCCAATGACTGAGGGGGCGGGGGCAGGGGGGGCGGCACCAGGAAGAGCTAGCAAGCCCACGGACTGGTCTCCGGCAGATCTCCGGTCCCACTTCTGAACCCCAGAATCTTTCTGGGGGCTGAGGGACCCCTGTGCCACCAGGAGGGGAGCAGAGCAGCAACGCGGCTGCAGGGCCCGGGCGGCCAGCAATGGCTTGGCCAGGAGGCCCTCCCTGGGCTCCGACTCCGCTCACCCACTCACCGGCTCCGGGGCCTCTGCATTGCAGCAGGCAGGAGCTGAACTGGCAGCCCCGCTAGGGCTGGGGGCGGAGCAAGGGCCTGGCAGGGGTGTCTCCCCTGCCCCCACACCTTTGATCCCGCTCTGCCCTGGCTTCCTGGGGAGGGGCAGCTGCTGACAAGGCAACCGCCTTCCCCGGGACAGACTTGAGCCTGGCTGGTGTACTGGTGTGTAGGCAGGGCTCAGGCTCGGGGACCAGCACGCCCCCGGGTCCTCTCTGCATCCCAGACCCCTCCTGAGTGTCACTGGGAGAGGGTGTTTTGAAGGATTAGGACTTTGGAGTTGAGGACACAGCCTTTGGACGTCTGCAGCCTGGGTTCGCATCCAGCTCTGCCACTTCTTAGCTGTGTGACCTGAGGCAGGTCGCTTAACCTCTCTGTGTCTGAGTTTTCTATAAAATGGGGATAATAGGACCGACCTCTGAGGATTCTCGTGAGCATTAATGCGCATGCTTCACTTTAGAACAGGGCCAGGCACACGCTCACGTCGGCGAGTGCCTCCCCGTCGTTACCATTACTGTTGCCGTTATTGTGGTGGTCGTCACTGTCACCAGCTCCGCTTGGCAGAAACCCCGCTCACGTAGACCCTCTTTTCCTGGGAGGAACACCCCCTGCAAGCACTTGCCGTATCGACAAGCGTTCTAGCTTAGCGGTTTGGAGCCCACCTAGGGAGCCAGACAGGTCTGGGTTCAAATCCCAGCTCTGCTGCTCCCCAGCTGCGTGAACTCCGGCAAGTTAGTAGCTTCCCTGGGCCTTAGTTTCTCCACCTGCTCACGGGGGTGATGTCAGCCCACATCTTTGCAAAGTCGTTGGGAGGATTAGATAAGCGGACACATGTAAAGTGCAGAGTGACACGGGGGCCGGGGTCATGGGTGACTGAGCACCGGCTGTGTGCCCGGCAGGCGGCACAGGAGTCCAGTCAGCCGCTGGGATCCTCACGCACAGGCTCAGGTCCTGGCTCGGGCCTCTGTCGGCAGAGCGATACGGGGCATATGCTTTTGCCGTCCTGTGCCTCAGTTTACCCAACTGTAAGTGGGGCTGTGGAAACACCAGGCTGGTGTTTCTGTCACTCTGGCCCCCCCTCCTGTTGCCCTGTGCCCCACCCATTTTGCAGATGGGTTAATAAAAACCCAAGAAAGGGACAGACCCAAGTCAAGAGGCAGCATTCAGAGGCACTCCCCAGCCTAGCCCCACGCCCACACTCATGCCACCAGGTCCTGGTCCCACAGGGTCCCTGCAGCTCCAGGGTCTCCCAGGGTCTGGCTGAGTCCGGTAGGGCTCACTGTTGGAGGTGCTCTAGACAAAGCAAACATCAAGCTCTAGAAAACCAGAAGAGCCTAGGGCTGGGGGCGAGGGCCAAGATTCTGGAACCTTCCAGACAGATGTCAAAGTCCCTGGGTTGCTCTAGGGCCTACAGCCACCCCCTCTTCGTCTAAGAAGATAAAAGTTTATTTGGGGAGGAGAGACGTGAACAAACACTTATTAAGCACCCACTGTATACGGTGATAACAACCAGCAGCAGGTCGGTTATCACGTTCCAGGCACTGTGCCCAGATGTTCATGCTAACGTTTTACAAATGAGGAAACAGGTTCAGAGAAATTAACAGCAATAATACTTGTAGTCGAACAGCAGCCATTTACTGTATGTACTCTTTGTGTATCTCAGCTTCATCTGCAAAGTCCTGCAGGTCCCTGGCCCCTCACCTCTCTGACCTCGTGGGGCCCCCTCGCCTCCCTCAAGCACATCTGCACTGTCCGACCTCAGGCCTCCGACCCTGTCTGTTCCACCCGCCCAAAATGCTTTTCCCAGATATCCACATGGTGGATTCCCTCACCTCTTTCAATCTTGCTCAAGTATTACCTTCACAGCTCAGTCCTCCCTGGCACCCCTCAGCCCCAAGGCCCTCCATCCTCTACCCCACTTCCTCCCCGCCCCCGAGTCCTATCCCTAACATACTAAATCATCTACTTACTCCGTTTCTAGCATGAATGTGCCATCGCTACAAGAGCAGGGGTCTTTGTTATTTTTGTTCATTGTTAAATCCCCAACGCAAAGAACAGAGTTTGGCCCACAGGGTGTGCTCCGTAACTAGTCCTTGGGTGAACGGAATCTTCGCGACGCCCCTTCTCTGGTCATTGTCATTTTACAGATGAGGAAACTGAGGCTCAGAGAGGCCCAGTGACTTGCTCAAGGTCACACAGCCAGGAGGTAGCAAACCCGAACCCCTCGCCCTTTTGCCCCAACAGGTCTGGCCTCACCCCACAGACAATGGCTTTGCCCCCCATGAGCTAGAGCCTGCTCCCCTCCCCCGGTGCCGGCCCCCCCGCCCCGCCAGCCAGCCAGCAGGATGCAGCTGTGGAAGGCGGTGGTGGTGACCCTGGCCTTCATGACCACGGACGTCGGCATGACCACGGCCATCTACATCTTCAGCCACCTGGACCGCAGCCTGCTGGAGGACC